AATTTGCCACACGTCCCTTTCTCCCCAAGAAGCTATTCATTTGTCGGAACCGCCGATACCGTATCACTTTAGCATATAGCTGCAATGCAAACTGATCGATCAAAATCAAGTTTTTCACAAAGTTTAACATGCTTTGTTATCCAAGTAAACTGAGCGATCAAAATCAAGACCTTGTATGGCGTGAAGATTTCGACTGTCGATAACCTTAAAATTTTAGGTGTGACTTTCGACAGTCTGTGCTTCTTCACTCCTCATACAATTGCGATTATTGCTAAAGTACAGAGCCGCAATAAAATTCTCAAGTCGCTTGCCGGCAGCTCGTGGAGAAAAGGCAAAGAAACGTTGTTGGCAACATACAAGGTAATCGGCCCGCCGGCTCTTAGCTACGCCGCACTAATACGGTCGCATGGATGCAGACGAGAAAGCTGCAAATTTGTCAGAACACTGCACTCCGGACATACAGGATGCCTCTTGATATCTCCCTTCGAACATCTGCATAGTGTGGCCTATATGATCCCACTTTTGGAGCATAATGACCTCCTCTCCAAGCAGTTCCTGCTGGGGTGCTTTCGCAGAAACCATTCCTGCAGTCACCTGTTTGAAGAGGAACCGCTTCTAGGAGCAGCATCAAGAGGTCATTCATCAACAACTTCAAAGACATGAAACAATCCGATGACCAGACTTCGGACGTAACTAGCTTCTGAAAAGCACTGATCGCCATTCACAGTGGAGCTGTTAACACATTCACCGATTCCCTCTCAGTAAATGACGTATTCGGAGTCAAGCCACCACCCATTGCAGACGAATGGCTCGTTACTGTAAACTGGTAAAGTCCTACTTATAAAGAATAAACCCTGACATTTATACAATATATGTCCAGCGAGCAAGGAGTCTCCGCATGACATTAGCCACCGCTTTGCATGCCCTGCTAACCCTACTCATCTGACAATCTTCTGCCTTTGGTTCGACTCTGTCTAAACAGCACGTTTCGTGGACCGCACCTTTTTTCTCCAAAACTACCTTAGGGTATACGACCTAATCCATAATAGTCTTTTTCGATTAAATCATAATTTTGTTGAGAATTGTTGACTCGTGTTCTCTAAAACGACGAAAAAATAGCATATATGTGGTTTATTCGTTATTCGTATTTTTCTTTCTCCCCATATTTTTTCTACCACAGAGGAGTGCAAATCAAAACCAGCGGCGCTTCGACCAGGCCAAACGGTATTTTTTGTTATACAACCACGTTTTATGAACGTCGACATTCGCATCATAATCGATGTTACGCAAGGCGAATTGGATGTGTTCATGTCACCACAAGACGACTCCTTCATTGTGGAGACCAACGAAACGACGGGCTTCCATGAAATCTTCCTGGATAATCGCTACAATTGGGTGCCCAAAAGTAAGCGTAATCATCCATTGCACATAGCAATGCCACGCACCGACAATATAACTGCCAGCAAACTGGTGATGCACGACAAACGCAATAGTTTCTATGTACCACACATACAAGACTGCAAGAGTCACGGTGGTCATAGTTTCCATGTGAAGGATAAACATGCTAAGGATTTGAGTACACATGTCACGCTAAATCAATGCAACACGCTGTTGCGGCTTTTTGGCCTAAAGAATCGTTTAGTGTTAACATTGCCGCAGAATGCTCATAATTTAAGTGCTACACGTTTCTTCATAGCATTACGCGCTGGAGCCGGACCGGAGCACAGTTATGGTTCGGTAGTTTTTCGACAAGATCAACTACATATCGACTTGTTTGTGTTCTTTTCCGTTTTCTTTTCATGCTTCTTCCTCTTCCTGGCTGTATGCGTGGTTGTGTGGAAGGTGAAGCAAGCGGCCGACTTGCGACGTGCTCGACGTCAACATGTCGTCGAAATGTTACACTTAGCAAAGCGGCCATTTGCCCGCGTCTTCCTCACAGCTGGCGCTTTGGATATGGAAAGCCCACAGCCGGCACCGTCATCAGCGCGCTCGGTGCGTAATATAACTGGTGCACGTGCGCGTCATGCAGCCGCCGGTACGCATGCGCCGGAAATATTGCTCATCGCCATTGAACCGACGGCGGACAATTTGGCTGCGGTGGGCACGGTGTTTGTCAGTTTACCTGGACGTCATAAAGCGCCGCTTAGCATGGCACTCGGCTCAGCGCTAATCACATATCCCAGGCAATTTCCGTTAAACGCGCGCAATTTTATGCGCACCCAGCGTGGTGGTGGCGCCGGTGCAGTAGCTGTTGGCGGTGGTGCGGCTGTGGGCAATCATGCGGCGTAAGTATTTATAATTTAAGGTGCCTTGTTTCTTCAATAATTCTTTGGCTGTGTACACTGACTCTGAGCTCAATTTTAGTCACCTATTGTCGTTTACTGTATTTTTATTGGTAGGAAGGATCTCTTTAGTTATTTTTTTTATACATTTTTCGAACAAATAATTTTTAATTAGCATTTTTTTATTTTTGTATTTAACAACTTAAATAAAATTTTTAAGTTGTCACAATTTTTCCTTTAATTAAATTATTTACAATTATCTTTCATTATTTTTTATATTTTTTATTTATTTTTTTTTTTATTTTGTCCATATTTTATTTTATTTTCTATATTTAATTTTTTTATATTTTATTTTTTATGTTTTATTTTTTTTATATATTATTTTTTTTTTATTCTTTATTTACTTTTTTTTATTTAGCTAAAACGTTTTTTTAATGCTTTAACTAGTTTTTAGATGCATTACTATTATACTATTTGTAGTTTTTTTTGTTTAGTTATATTGTATTTGAGTTCATTTGTCAGTTCTTAACTGCTAAGGATAAGTTTAAAACAAGGCACTGTTACTTTATATAAAAAGCATGGATCAAATATAAAACAATTCGAAACGTTAAGTTAATAGTTTGTTGGTTTTTAGATAGAAAACAGTTTGGAGATTTATTGTATTCAAAAAATTTGACTCATGAGCAACTTCTGCATTTGATAACAAGTGTAATTTACTGAAATTTTTATATCAAATATTAACTTTAGTATTGTAAGAATTTAGTGAAAGAGTTTATCGAATCAATAACAAACACACAAAAACTACAAAAAATCATAAAAGACAAATTTATGTATGTACCCGTAGTTTAACCTAGCAATTTGAACGCTATGAAGTAGTTGTATATAATTTTTAGTAAATAAATGGTTGAGGATATTTAAGCGAAAAAAATTCAAAAGTCATGACAAAAACACAACATGCATACAAGGTGAAAATAATAACGAAATACAAATTTTCAACACAATATTTTAGATAAAAGCATCTTAGTTGGCTACAACATTCTAAAGGAATAGTACTCAATTATGAGTATGAAAGTAATTCAAAAGCGGTCAATTCCTTAAACTTATATAAGAAATCAGTTACCAGTGAACACACTTTTTTACCGCATAAATACATGCATACATGATTAGTGCAATAGTCATATGGAAAACTAACAAACCAAACTATGCAGCTTACAAAACGGTTTGTAATGACTGTAATGTAAAATTTGTATTATTATATTTTTTTATTTTTATTTATTTGTAAATATTGCATATGGTTGTTTATTTAAGTATTAAGCTACTAAAATGTTTGCTCAAATATACCGTATATTTCATGATTGAAAAGAAAACAAAACTCGAAATGAGAAAAACGTTATGAAAGCTGAATTGTAAATATTTACATATATGTAAGCTGATTTAGCAAACAATTGTGTATATATGTACCATATATATTGTTTTAGAATTGTCATATGTGGATATAAACAAATTTATAGCAAATTTTGTAATTGACGGCATTTTTTAAGTGATTGAAAGGCAACTTATATTTAATAATTTCTTTTGATCTAACGCTCTCTTTTGTGGACTGTGTTAAAACGACATTTTTTTACTATATTTTTTACTACATAAAAGAAACCTAGTTATTTAATGATATGTTCTTGAAAAAAATCCGCGTATGACGATTGTTGCGTTGCTTTTGCGCCGAATCTCCTTTACCGTTATGTAGCTAGTTGCGTCTACATTATTTGGCATATCTCACTAGTTAGATTATACACAATTTCTGCTTTATGCAAGCTCTACATTATTTGTTGAATATAAATCTTATCAAAATTTTACTTAAGAAAATTTCTTTCTTTATATTTATATATTTAATTAATTATCTCGAATGGTTTGTGGACTTTTTATAATATATGTATATTTAGATTAACAAATGAATTACATTTTTGTTGGCGTTGCCATGACTTTGGTAAAGATATTTACACATATTATTAATACAATTAACTACTATGGTTGTGTTAAAAATGTTGAACTATTGTTTTACTGTACAAATTTGAGTGCAATGTTTTTTGGTGTATTTTTTTTTTATTTTAACATCAAAGCAAAGACATGAAAGAAGTGCTGAACAAACACTTGACATATACATATATAATTAGGGATATAGTAATTATTAAAAATATATGTATTACTATCACGAAGAACAAATCGAACAATAATTACTTCAATCGAGAGAAAATATTATATAATAATATTATAAAATGATAATAATTCTGACTATCCCAGTGTTTTGATAAATCGAAGTATTATAAGTAAAATGCCATAGACGAATTGTAAAAATATAATGAGTATATATATAAAATTAAATAAAAACATAAAAAACTATAAAAACAATTGTGTTACTAATATATAAACAGAGTGCATAAGCGCTACATAACAGAAATAGAAACAGAATTCGAAATAACAATGTTTATTTTTTTTAATAATTTTAGTTATGTCAAATCATTTATTCGCAGCCAAGCTTTTGTGTTTTTTTTTTAATTTCTTAAATCACACTTTTTTATTTAATTGTATAACAAACGCCTTATATTTTTAATTTTACAATGACGTAATTCTGTTTCTGTTTTGAGTTTTACTAACGCCCAAATTAAATTTCTGATTTTGGTATGCTCCACTCACTATGCGGTGCTAGAAATATAACTAAACTATTGTGAATATGCAAAGGGGAAGAAGATGTATAGGATAGTTTACATTTCCACGCACGTGCCGCTAGTTTCTAATTAAATTCTCTCAATAAAGTATTTGAAATATAAAATAAATATGAAAAAGAAGACACCAAATAAGCCTGTAGAGTCCGACAGTGATTCCAGTTTTGACGCAGATGAACCAAAAACAATAGAAGAACAGGAAGACGTGGATTCAAGCGTCGAAAATGAACTTCCAACTACCAGCAATGCCAAAAAGACAACAACATCTAAATCAACTAAAGCTAACACCAATGAGGACAGTGACAGCAGTGAAGATGAAGATGCAGACATGGGCGAAGACGAGGATGAGGACGGGAGTAAAAATAAATCTACGCAGGGCGAAAACAATGAATCGGACAAAGGCAGTGACGGTGATGATGACAATAACGATGATGATGGTGACGAGAAGAGCGATGATGAAGACGCCGAACCAGAGGTTCGCATGCCCGTTATCAATCCTTTGGCGTTTATGAAGAACAAAGATCAACGTATGGCACTGTTTAAAAAAATGAAAAAGGAGAAACACAAACAAAAAATGCAAGAAAGACGTGCACGTCGGAAAGCTGGCTTACCTGCAAATCCCGGGCATACAATAGAAAGTTTGCGTGAAAAAGATCAGACAACAGTAGCTAACTTGAATGATTCCGATAATGAAGAGCTACGTAGAGAACTACAAATGGACGACTTCAGTTCTTACTTTGAACGTAGTTACGAGCCAAAAGTGTTGATTACTTTTGCCGATAATCCCGTAACGAAAACTCGTAAGTTTGGACTTGAATTAAGTCGTATATTTCCAAATGCGTTAGTAAAAATACGAAATAGATCGTCGGTTAAAAATATATGTAAAAGTGCTATTCGCGAAGAATACACAGATGTAGTAATTGTTAACGAAGATCGCCGTAAACCAAATGGATTACTTGTAATACATCTTCCCAACGGTCCTACGGCACATTTTAAATTGTCCAATGTTCAACTAACATCAGATATCAAGCGTGATCATAAAGAGATAACAAAACATCGACCTGAAGTAATACTGACAAACTTTACTACAAGACTCGGTCTAACCGTCGGTCGTATGCTAGGTGCACTTTTCCACCACGATCCTGAGTTTAAAGGGCGACGTGCAGTCACTTTCCACAATCAACGTGATTACATATTTTTCCGTCACCACCGTTATGAATTCACAAAAGAGGGCAAAAGGGTAAACTTACGTGAGATGGGACCACGATTCACATTGAAATTACGTTCATTACAGGAAGGTTTGTTCGACAGTAAAACAGGTGATTATTCTTGGATAATTACAAACAAACGGCACGCTATGGAGGCTTCTCGTCGTCGTTTCTTCTTGTAAAATTTTTTTTTAACAGTTAAAATTTTGTTGAAAAAATATTTAAATAAATGTATAAAATGTAAATGTCAGTTTTATTCAAAAGTTTAATGATTTGTTTTTTATCAAAACATTTGTTGTTTATTAATTAGGAGTTAATTTTTCATTCAAAAACATTAAAACAAATGTTGTGGTATTTCATATTACACACCCAAAATGATTTCAACAAATTAATGTGAAATGAACATAGAATACAAAGAATTACGTCTTTGCACAAAAAACGATAACTAAAATAATATTGTAAAACAAATTTCTAAATACTAATATTAGATATCAGAGTTGCTGCTTTGTCACATTCTAAAATGTGTTTTCAACTCAATGTCTACATTATAATGTACACGTTACATCATGGGACACTGGGGATTCGCTCCAGCACCTGCTGCACCAGCTAAGTTGGGGTCTAACATAGGGAGATCACCAGCTGTTTCGGCCAAAATTTCTTCAGGCGGGTTTCCGAATTCTTGCAATCTGCGCATATGATCCAACACAGCCTTGAACTTTTCACGCTTAACTGTTGCAGAATCGTCTGGTTTCTCTGCTTCTAATTGTTTCTCAAGAACTTTATAGAGCTCCAATTGTTTCTCATATCTGAAGAATATAAAGTATAGTTCGTATTAATTTGTAAGAATGATTATAGAATAAAAGCATACCGTTCCCTATCTTCAGCACTAATTTTGTCACCATGTTGTTCAAAGTATTTGGGATACTTTTCCACCAACTCCTTTATGCTTGGTAACAAAATCTCAGCACTCAGCAAACTTTGCATCATGCCTTCCATAAATGGCAGGAACATATTGTTGTCACCTTCACCGGGCTGTGCAATTTAATAAATTCTTGTGAAATCTCTCTTTTATGTAAAAGTTGTAGCAATACTAACATTTTCTAAATTAAGTCCGCTAAACATGTTAGCAACATCATTCTCCGAAACAGGTGCGCTGAGATTTTCCGAACCTTCTTGTAGGCCCTATAAAAACATGCAAAAAAACAGATGTGTATAATTAGTACAAAACCCACTAACTTCATCGTATACACACCTTTAGAGCTTGTGCTATGCTATCTGAATATTTGGCCACATCTTCATCAGTTGCTGGATTTTCCCCTTGTAAGGTCATAGCCGCTGCCTCGGCCATTTTCTTGAAGCCGGCTAAAATTTGATCCGGATCTTGCGGCATTGGTGGTAACTCACCACTCGGGGTATTGGGACCACCAAAAAGAGTCTGCATGCGTTCAGCTAATACATTTGCCTGTTCACTGCATTGAAAAAGTAAAATATACATTTTTTATATAACTACTATGCTTACATAAAAAATGCATCTGGATCGGCTGCAGTTCCGGCATCTGCGGCACTACCGGCGGCTGATCCATTCGTGGTCAAACTATTATCTGCATCTACCGTACTACCCGATGAGCTTTTCTTATCGAAATCTTGCAGGGCATCTATAAATAAGTACACAGTGTTAAAGTAGTATTAACTTTCATTCACATTATATAATATAGTAGACCCATGTTGATATGGGCGTGCACATTGGACTTACTGTCAAGCAGCTCATCCAATTCCTTTTTGTCATTTTGTTTGTTCTCAGACATTTTACTAAGGAAGTTTAAGATTTATCACTCACAAAAAATCGTTGTTTTTAGTAAATGGCTTTTTCGTTAACTTAGCACAAGCCGTTTTGTAATTATTAATTTAAAAATTTATGAAAATGAAATATGTGTGCGTAATAATTGCACAAAATTACACTTCACGTCACGTCTGCTGTTCGCTGCTCATCTGGGTAAGTGATGCTGCCAGAATACAAGTTTTATAACAAAACTATAAAAAATATTAGCATGTGCCGTAAAATACTGCGTTTTAAATATTCAATTCGAATTTCGCAATCTCTGGCATCACGGTTGTTTCGTTGCCCGTAAATAGAATTTAAAACATTTTTGTATTATATTACTTTAATTCGTATGTATATTGTTTTAATAAAATTCACTGTTTCTTTAATCAAAAAATTTTAAAGCTTTTGTGAATATAGAATGTGGATTTCCTCTCTCTCAATTTTGACATTTTCCTCCTTCTCCATTTTTGACAGTTTGTAAAAGAGGTTAGAAAAGGCTTTGATCGTTAAGTAGAGTCATTAATTTCAATTTGTATAATTTGCAGAAACGATATAATAGAAAATCATTTAAATAACTACAATGTAATTGTCTAACTGCAAATGCATACATTCAATAATATAGATTATGATTTTGTGTATAAATTGTGTTTAATGAACAACGCTCTCCCTTCGCTGATACTCAACATCTTGAAGTGTGTGAATAGCTTTAAATAATCAAATTTCATATGTGATAGTGTAATATTTGATCACTTTGTATATATTAAAAGTAAAAAATTTATTAAGCTATTGTGTGATATTTTCAATATTTAAATAACGTGCATCAAAATATTTCTAAGCATGTGTATGAGTATAGAGATGGAGGAAGTGAAATTCAAAGCAACAAGCATACACTAACAACAATTTGAAGTTCAGTGTAGATTGAAAGAATTTCATATTTTTGCTTCCTCCTCTATTACTTTTGACAATTTGCAAAAGAGGTTAGTAAAGCTTCGACTGTTCTGTGCAATTATTATTTTGTTTTGTAAAATTTTAAATAAATTGGTAAAAATAATCACTTAAAGTTCGATATAGTATTGAAAGTGCTAAAAAGTAAATCCAGTAAAACAGTGTAATGTGTGAAATAAAAATTTCGACATTCCTCTGTGTGTGGTTTTGACTTTGTTAAGTGTTTGGAAGTCTTAAATTAAGAGAATATCATTTGTAAAGTAAATATTAAGTTGTGATTAAGATCTTTAAGCACATATAAGTTATTGCGGTACCTTTTGAATGATTACATAGCTTGCATTAAATTTTGGACTAGGTCTACCGGCGACATGCATACACATGTAGGATGCATGCAAAAACAAGGGGGCAGTGAAATTTCAAGAAGCATACGTACGTATGCAATAGTTTGAAGTGCAGTGTACTAGTGTTTCAAATTTTCAGTGTTTATTGAATTCTAAAAGCTCTTAAATGTGTTTGAAGTGCAGTGTCGAGTGTCTAAAATTTTCAGTGTTTATTAAATTTTTAAAGGTCTTTAATTTGTCCTCAGAGCTTACAGAGACTCATCTTGTTAACCTATAAATGGATAACATGGCTTTCAAACCTTATGGATTTCAAGAACAATTTGAAAATAGATTTCTTCTCAAAGTAAGTACAATAAATATACATACATTGTCTTTATACATATGCAAAATCGTTTAATAATAAGCTTTTGACAAAAGATTTATTTCTGTCAATCAATCAAGCATTGATTTGATTTTATCGATTATCAAACTCACAAAAAAAGTGCCGTTATTTTTTATTATAATTTGTATGCAGTCTCTACCCATATACAAAAGTATAATACTCAGTTCAGTGTTTGTCTTTGCTTTTTAACAATGGATTGGAAAGCTAAATAAATCGTATTGAGATAATTGCTTTACATTTGAAAATTATGAGCCTCTTAAAAAACTTGTACTTAATATTTCGAGGATGTTTTTGTTTACCGCACTTTTGAACGTTTTTGCAAATTGTCTACTGTTAAGGCCGGATAAATAGGTGGTCGACATTTCTTGCACCGTAGCCTTGGACAATAACCAACGCCTAATTTGGTGAAGATATCTCTTCAAACGAAAAAGTTTTTCATACAAGCACTTGATTCCGACCGTTCAGTTTGTACGACTGCTATATGCTATAGTGACCCGATCTGTACAATTTGCATTGTAGATTCCACCATTGTCTTAAGCAATAATCCACGTAAAATTTCTTGAAAAATAGCTTTATAGGGTCTTTCATGTTTCTTTTGAGTTTTACAAGCATCTCGCCATGGTAATATACCCTTTTCAGGGAATACCCCACAGAAAGAGAGTCTCAAAATCTCTGTTTGAAACAAATACCACTAGAAACTTTGTGTATAGTATGTATGCAACTTTTGTTGTTGTGCAAACATTTCTCCGTCATAACAAAGCGCCTAAAACTCATACAAAAGGCAACAAACCGTTTAATTTGTCATATCTTACGGCCAACCAGGCCATTATTACAAACCTTTATGACCAGTTAGATCAACACATATGAATACATATTATATGTACATACGAGTATATTTGCGCACCTACCTACACCTGAATATGGCTACCAAACACATGCTGTAAATTGGGGAACACCGACAAAAATTGACAAGTACTTCGAAACTCACTCATATGCTTGTGTATGCGTGTAGATACACATTTCAATATGAACTTAAAAATGCTTGTGGTAAATTGTTACTGAATGGCATGAAAGATATGTATTTCCACCTACCACATGTACATATATACCATAAATGTATAGTATGCATGAATTTCCCACTGACTGATCTTCCAATAAAAACCAACTGGACACGGGTAGGCCGACAAATAGACAGAGGTAAAACTTGACCCACAAACATATAATGCCAGCAATTAAAAGTGTCTTTCGCCATGGTGTCATCCACTATAAGTGTATATAAACGAATGCATGTACAAATGAATGTAGATATTTATGCTGTGGTTGTGCTAACTGTTTGTTAAGAAATAGTGCGAGCTAGCCGTGCATGCACACCCGCGTACACACACTCAGAAGGGTTAATCACATTCGTTGCGCTACAGGGTGGAAACAATTCTTTTCACCTGGAAGAGAAACTGTGTCTGCGCTACTGTCAAACACCAAACACAAGCATCGAGACAAAAAACTAATAAACTAAAATATGTATGTATATTAAAATATTTGCTGCTTGTTTTGTAGGTGGGCGGAGGTGGAAAGCCCATCGTGGCTCGAGCAACACCAACATGCAAGTTATTCCTTTATTTAGTTGAATGTTGTTCAATAGACCGACCTTTCGTTGTTACATTTTAATGCGATTATCCCTGGTAATGGATTTAATCATGACAAATAAGCGTCTAAGCGCATGAAAATGCTAGCAAAATATTTGCAAAAGTCAAATCTTACCCACAACTCTAGTTGACCTTTAGTATCTACATACGTCGCGTATGGTAGCTCACGCCTCTGCTGTACTATTTCATTTACATATGTTTGTTTGTATTTTTCTTTGGTTGTTGTCAGTTGAATGCATTTGTGGGTGTTACTGTTTCAGCTTCCACGGCGTTTTAATGGAAATTCAGATCAGGTAAAATTGAGAGCAAGCGTGCGCTGTGAATAGATTTCCATCCACTCATGTTTATATATATATGTGATGCATGTATTTGTATTTAGTTTTATGACTGTGTATGCAAAATTCCTTAAAATTTGAATTGAAAAATGTATATAAAGGGTGTTTCTTTTACGCATATAAATATTTAGCTCTATTATAAAGATAAAGGTTCAATTATAGCTGCCATAGCTATACGAGCAGCACTGATTCCAATTGGTGATAACGTCATGGCCATACTTATCAATTTGATTTTGGTTATGGATATAGCGTTATAGTATGTGACGTCTAAATGATTTTTAAGGGTTTGATGCGAGTGGCTCGAACAGTTCCAGCGGGGAGGTAAAATTTTCGACCATTTTTTTGGAGCAAGTGGGGTCGTATTTCGGCAATAACCCCCTCAATATTCTCTTCCAAGGCGTCGATTGTCTCGGGCTTATCACCTTCTTTACTGACGTAGACACTGCTTTCGCGGCTATAGCCGAGAGTTCTTTTAGCTGATGCATGTTCCTTAACAGATCTTCGCCAACGTGCCCGCTTGTTAATTGTTCTTCAGACAGGTTATTGCTATTCGAATTTCTTCATGGTCGGGCAATGGAACGTCTAATGATGTTATGCTTTCACTGCCATTCAGCAAGCTGGAGAATTCTTCCCTCCATAATTTTAATATGATTTGGGCATCAATTACTAGATCATCAATTTGATTGGTGGCTCGTTGGTATCTAGTAGCGCCACCATGTTTAACCAAAGGCTGTCCACAGTAATATTCCAAAAAGCTGGCACGAAAATGTCATTAATCATGGTCAGGTTGACTTTTGAAGAAATACGGACTAATGTTTCCCTCTGTCCACAGATAACACCAAAGATTGACTTGTTGAGGATGTTTCGGAGTCTCAACAGTGGCTTGTGAATTATGTGAGCATATCTCCAATTATTGCGCACGGTATCGGATGTATCCATTTTCATTTGGGGTTTCTTTGATACTGTGCGTTATATAAATAAGTATTTTTTTACTCTCAAGCCTAAACAGAAATATTGTTATATAAATCAATGTAGGAAAATCTCTTGTTAAAGAAACCACAATCAAAGAATTGGAATGAAAATATGTAATTGTTCAGAAATATTACAATAAATTGCTGTATTTATAGAGAGATCTGACCCTGACCTGTGAGTGGTTAAACCTTTAATATACCATTAGATTAAATTTGTCCCGGACTGACAAAAATATGAATTTTTGCGTACGTATTTTGATACTATTCTATATCCGTATGTATATCTTCTGTGATACCAATCACATTGTGTCATACCATATATGTAGTGTTGGAGAGAAGAATTTAAGCTTCATTTACAAAAAAACATTAAATTCGGGGAGTTGTACAAAAATGAGTGAAAATAATGAAGAAATTCGCTGGATTTTTAAATTTTGGTATAAAATAGGAAGACGATGCTGTTTCAGTTCGAGTAGCACGACAATGATTTCTTCGCTTCCGTTCTGGAAATTTCAAAATTGACACTGATGAAAGCTTTACACTGATACCGGAAAAATGGTAAAAAGTGGTCGACCAAAATGATACATATTTGTTTATTTATTGTTAAAAATATAAAAAAAATATGTTGGAGTTTGATTAGAAAAAAAGACTTTATCGACTAACCAATAAAAGTTCCTGACTAATGGAAGTGTGCCAACGCTTAAAGCACTTGTACTTGTTGGTGTCAGCTGTAATGTCCTTCAGTGCATTTAGCGAATTTTGAGTTTTCTAGTTTCTGCTCAATTTTGAAATATTATACTTTATATTGTTGAACAATTTCGACCTCATATTTATAATGATACAGTTACATTGTCAGGCATATCTTTTGCGACATCTATTCGAGTGCGTTTTTGCAAATTCATACTCAAAACATTAATCAAAATGTGTTAAGTTGATCCATTAGAGATAATGAAATCCTGAGGTATCTCTCGAATGCCAACAGGACGATTTTCAAACATCGTCAGACAAACTTTTCGCGTCGTAGACAAACAGCTGTCAAATTCAAACTCATTGATATGGAAATTAAACCTCACACGAACATGAAAGAAGTCGTACCAATCTAAGAAAAAATTAAAAAAAAACAAAAAAATTTCAGAGTATTCTGAGTCATATTTAATCTATTTATTTGTAAATAATTTCACTTAACATATATTTATATCATTCGGCTTTTTCGCGTGTAGCATTCTTTCTATTGAAATGCATGAAAATGTATTAAATCGTAGCCAATGCAATTTAAACGCTTTATTTTTTTCCTGGAAATTTGGGATAAAGTTAAAAACTTCCTTTTGTGTGCCATTTCAGCGTCAAAGGAGTCTGAGTCGTAGCTACGAGTACATACAAATGCATTCGTACTAAATGCATCCACTATTTATACCGCTATTGCGAAGCGTGCTGTTGCGTCGCTGAGGCTGCTTCAAAGCACTTTCATGCCCAAGTGCCATGCTAATGAGCCCTCAACTAGTAGACAGCCTGTCTTGCAAACGAAACCGTATGGCGTTTTCCAGTACTGTAAAAAATAATCTTCCTTCCTTATATAAAGTTGCGGTTTGGAAAACCGGGTGGCACTTGAACGCTTCGTTTTGTCAATTATTCACACACGATGAGTTCTTCAAATAAAGAGTGATTATTAGGAAATCAGGCGCATTTCAATTATATACGCTACTGGGACAATTTATTAATACTTCGAATGCAATATTCACGAACTTTTAAATATTTTACAATATTTTTATGCAAATATTTCCTTTATATGTTGAAAGAAGCACCGAATAACACAATCCTTCCAAATAATTATGACCTACAACCAATTGTCACCTTTTTGATACTGTGCCACAGAAAAAATTCCCACTTATATATCTCTTTGCTTATATCATAGCAGAGTGACCGAATGCTCAGTGATTAATGATTTCCTCCTCATGCTGTGGCCACAAGAGGCAGACTCGGGCAGTCAGACAGGCAGTTAGGCAGCCAGTAGTAAG